TATGAAGGTGATAAGAGGATGCCAAGAGCTGATCTTTCAAAGATCTCTTGAGACAAAAAGTCTCTTTTGGCGCCATGAGATATTTGAAACACCCTCTCCTAGCATTTCCTCGCCTATGAGATTTGAAATTCATACAGATATTAACTTTATATCTGTCTCTACTAATTTTTTTTCTGAGCCCCACGTTGGGCGCCAATTATGCCCCGGCCCCGCGGGGATATTCAACGGTGACCCTAGGAGGGGAAGAAAGAGAATGGGGGGAGGGTAGGAGGCACAAAGCAGGAAGACAAGTCAAGAATCTCTGATCAAGTCTTCATTTTTTTGAAAGCACTCACAGTATATACATAGAGGAGCACAATGGGGGGAGGAGAAGTATGCAATGGGGGAGAATAACATGTCGTTTTCCAGTAAGCTGAAAGTTATCTGGTAAACAGAAACTTAGCAGGGCGTTCTCAGTAAACTGAAACCTATCCTCCCAGGGTGGGGCAACATGTCCAGACATGTCCTTAGAGAATTACAAAATGGCTTCAGCTAGGTAGAAAAAACGGCTTCCAGAAAAGATCAGCAAAGGAAAAGTGGTTGTTGTTGTTGTTAGGTGCCGTCACGTTGAGTGTGACTCATAGCAATCCCATGAACAAAAGCTCTGAACCCAGCCCTGTCCTGCACCATCCTCACAATTCCTGACCCACAAGAGCCCATTGCAGCAGTCACCATGACAATCCACCTAGTTGAGGGTCTTCCTCCCCCTCCCCAGCCCTCCACCCTTCTGAACATCATGTCCTTCTCCAAGGAATAACACCTCCTAGAAACATGTCCAGAGTGTGTGAGGTGAATTCTCGCCTCCAAAAAGCACCGGGCTTCACCATCTACAAGACATATATGTCAAAGGAGAGGAAGACCCTCACTGAGATTATTGACTGGGTGACTTCATCAATGGGCTCTAGTATGTCAGACATGCTGAGGATGGTGTGGGCTAGGGTTCAGGTCAGCTGTTCATAGAGTCGCTACCTTACAACAACAGACTAATCTTGAAACCTCAATTTTCCTACCTATAAAGTGAGCATACATTTTCTGCCTGCCATGTGATCTCCAGACAAAGCTGCACACAGTGTAGATGCCTCTGGGATGCTGTGGGAGGAGTGCAGGTGTCTGGATCCATGCAGAATTTCAGAGCGTCCGTTTTCTCAGTCACCAAGCTGGAGTATGGCCATGTTTTCCCAGGCTGTGGGCTTGCCCCGGCACCATGGTGGCATCCTCATTAATCACAGCTGGTGCCTCACCACCCTGCCTGCCTGTCATTGGCAAAATATAGGAGACCCACTGCATCCTGAGGGTGATGGGTCAGAGCAGGTGACCCCAGCAAAGACACACACCACACAGAGGACCTGCTTATCAAGGAAGGCCCTTGGCACCAGTGAGCTGAGTCCCAGAAGCCTGTCCATCTTCATGGAGCCCACAGAAGAAGGGAGGGAGAACAATTAGACTAGGCCTTCCAGATAGGTGACAGACAACACATCTCATCACGCTTCTCTGAGGACCTTGCTAACAGCAGACCATGGGCCAATTCTGTGGTGTCCCCTAAGGGCCTTCCCACTCACTCACAATCAGGTTTAGCCATGGATGTGGGGACCCATTCATGGTTGTATCCAGGAGCCCCTTTTCCACAAATAAACACGCCCTAAAAGCTGTTTCCAGAGTGGGGAGTTTTTCCTATGGTCCCACCTGCAAGAGTGCTGTGATAAGATGGGCAGTGCCCAAGCGTATTGTTGTTGTTGTGTGCCATGGAGTCAGAATCGACCCATAGCTGACCCTCCCTCCAGCAGGTTTCCAGAGCAGTTATGAGCACTGGAGGAGATTGCCCATCCTCCTGCAGAGCAGCTGGTGAATTTGAACCGTGTGCCTTTGGGATTGTAGTGCAGCTTCTTACCATTAGGCTTCCAGAGCTCACTCCCATCATGTTGATGTTGTTGTTGTTGTTGTGGTGGTGGTGGTGGTGGTGGTGGTGTACCAGAGTTGGAACCAACCCATAGCTGACCTTCCAGCAGGTTTTCAGAGGCAGTAAATTACATGGGAGAAGATTGCCCATCTTTCTCCCATGGAGCAGCTGGTGGCCTCAAATCATGTACCGTCAGGATTGCAGCGCAGCTGCTGTCAATTCTAATGCAACTCATACTGACCCTATGAACAACAGATCTGAACCCTGTCCTATCTTGTGCCATCCTCACAATCTCTAAGCCAATCGAGCCCATTGCCACAATCCGTCTCTCCTATGCCTCCCCCCTCACACACACCTTTCCAAGCATGATATGCCCCTCCAAGGAAATAGCCACTCCTAACAACATAACCCAAGTATGTGTGGCAAAGCTTTGCCAGGTCATGACCATGGTCTTTTCAATCACTTGCTACACATCTAAGAGCTGGACAATGAATAGAGATGATAGAATAAGAATTGATGCCTTTAAGCTGTGGTATTAGAAGAGTACTGACTATCCCATTGGGCTGTCAAAAGAACAAACAGATACATCTTGAGGAAAAGTACAGCCAGAGTGCTCCTCGGAGGCAAAAACGGTGAAGCTTTGCCTCTCACTTCCATCGTCATCTGAAATGTCCACAACTGGTACCTCTTCAAGGCAGACAGGGCAGAGGGCAGGTGACTTGGCACAAGTGCTTGCCAAAGGTCTAGCTTGAGACCCCTTTGATTTAGAGCCCTCACTATTGTGGAGCAAAGGGTCAACCTTGAAGAACAGCAGCTTCCAAGTTTTGCTGGCGCACCTGCCCCAGCCACGAGCCATGCCACTGCCCTGCTTCGCGCTGACACGGGTTGGTACCGGGCCCTCATGCCCACTCAGGTGTGGATAAGATAGCAGGCCCTGTGGGGTGGGGGGAGGCCTCCTGCCCCAATGTCAAAAGTTGGCCATTCTGTGGTGACTATGAGTTCTCAGGCATAACAGGGAAAGAGCCACGTGGGGCATGTCTGGGCTTAGGTTTGCAGGAGGGCTGCAACTGGAAATGTTCATGGGCTACACAGTACTGCCAGGACACCTCAACCTGGCATTGCCAGGGGACTCCCTGTGCCTGCCCACTCCCTCCTTCACGGCCCCTGCCCCATGCCCTGTGCACACATCTGGCACCCTGCACACAGCCCCAGACATACTGACAGTTGCTGGGTTGGAACAAGCCCTTCGAAAGGGCAGGAAATTCTTGCTTCCACCACTCCCTCCCCCAGAGCCATGTGCAAGCCTTGGACTTCTGTGACCTCTCAGGTGGCAAGCTGCTGAATAATGTGAAAAGCTGAGCATGTGACAGAAAGCAGCTGGTGAAATGCCAGGAGGCAAAGGGGCCAGACTTTGACACCCAGGCAGCTGGCCTCCCAGGAGCACAGGGCCTGCCATCCTGGTCACACCAAAGGGCCATCTGCCAGGCTTCCTAGAGCAGGGGCACCCACCCTTGGCTCCTGGGGTAGACGGGGCATTACCCCAGTGAAAGAATGCATGGCATTGGACATAATGGAGTCCACTCAGGCTTTCTCCTCTCATTCATTCAGGTATCAGATGTCTCTACTGGCTACTGACCCTGAGTCAGACACAAGTGATGCTAGAGGGCCCTCAGAGGGCTTGTGGGAACAGTGAGTGAGTGAGAGGGATGGCAAGGCAGGGATGCAGGGGGCAGATGACAAGTGCTGTGGAATAAAGGCAATTCAGAGTGGTGGTGCCAGCCGTGGGGGAATCTGGCCCTGGCAGGCTCCACTGCAGCCACCTGGAGGGGTGACATGAACATACCTTTGGCTTTACCACACACTCACACACACACATACACACACCCAGGTTGCCAGTGTCGAGCTCTGCTACAAAGCCCTGCAGTTCTATCTGGATTACAAACCTCTACTCATCAATGACCTCCTGCTGGCACTGGATCCCCGCCTGGACCATACCCGGACTGTCAGCTTCTTCTCAAATGTGAGTCTGCCACAGTTATTGGTACAGAGAAACAGTGGGTGGCTTAGCGAGCTGCTGGCCGGGGCGTCTGAGGTGTATTCCCATCATACACGTAATTTGAGATGGATTCCAGAGCACTTTCACTAGTCCACTTTTGAAACAGCCTTAGGTCTCAAGTGCTTTCCAGCCAAAGTGTCTCCAAGTGAAATGGGTCTCTCCTGTGGTGTGCATGGGCTCCTGGTGCCAAGGACATGTCCCTGTCAGTGGTGGGACTGAGAGATCGCTCCTCGAGGCAGGCACACGCTCAGAGCTTCAGACAATGCATTCTCCAGAACAGGCCAGTCTAAGCAACTTCAACCCTCTCCCCTGGTTCATTAGGCAGGCCAGCTGGCCTTGGTGAAGCCCTACCTGAGAGCAGTCCAGAGCCACAACAACAAGAGTGTGAATGAGGCACTCAATCAGCTTATGACTGAGGACGAGGATTACCAGGTAGGTGTGGAGCAGGGAGGTCAAGCAAACTTGGGGCCACACTCCTTCATTCCACAGCAGCCCTGCCACATGGAGCAGAGGCATGTGCAGACTGTACCAGCCTTGGACATCAGTAGCTGGAGGCTTGCCAGGCAGCCAGTAGACATATGGGCCACGGATGGGTAAATGGCAGGGGCCTTTCTGAGCACGGGTGGCCTCATAGCCACATTTCCACTGAGCTGTACCTCCTAGGGTTTAAGGATGTCTGTGGATGCCTACAACAACTTTGACCACGTGGGCCTTGCCCAGAAGTTAGAAAAGCACCAGCTGGTGGAGTTCCGGCGCATTGCTGCTCATCTGTACAAGGGCACTAAGCGGTGGGCTCAGAGCATTGAGCTCTGTAAGAAGGATCAGCTCTATAAGGTTTGTGTCCCTGAGCAGTACAGTTGGGTCCATCCTTCCTGCCTTCCTGCACAGCCTTGGGGCAGTTGTTGCTGTTGTTGTGTGCTCTCTAGTCAGGACTGACCCATAGCTGACCCTCCAGTGGGTTTTCAGAGGGAGTAAATCACACAGGAGGAGATGGTCTATCCTCCCACAGAGCAGCTGGTGGATTCGAACTGTATGCCTTGGGGATTGCATCGTGGCTTCTTACCATTAAGCCACCAGAGCTCCATTTTGGGGGAGAGGGGTGGTCCTGTCTCTTCCCTCCCTCTCCATCCCCTCTTTCCCTGTCTTGGACTTCCCCACGAGATTAGCATACAATTGTGTTTCACGATATTAACTGCCATCTTCACAAGGCAACCCTGCTCTTCCAGCTTCCGCCCTGTTTGCTGCTTCCATGTTCCCTTTCCTGTACCTTCCAGCCCTCTGAGCTTCATTGTACTTATATGCCATCAAGTTGTGCCCCACTCAAAACTCACCCTCCAGCATGTTTTCAGAGGCTATAAATCACACAGGAGGAGGTTCCCCTTCATTCTCCCATAGAGCAGCTGTTGGATTTGAACCATGTGCCACTGGGTCGGTAGAACAACTCCTGACCCATTAGGCTTCTAGAGTTCTCCCTATTCATTATTGTTGTTGTGTGCTGTTGAATCAGCACAGACTCTTAGCTGAGCCTGCAGAGGATTTTCAGAGGCAGTAAATTGCCCCAAGAAATTCTCAAGAAGGTAAGGAAAGAACAAGGGAACCAATTTAGAACAGAGGGCAGGAGTTGGGGGTGGTCTGGAAAATTGTTACCATTAGCATGACCATTTGCCAACACTAACAGGAACTCATGTGCTCCAGAATATAACAGTGCTCCAAGGGCTTGATGTTTTTAAACTTATTTTGTGCTTTTACTGTTGTTGATCCTCCTCAGGCTCATGGGAGGCTCTCCTTGCCAGAAGGCAGGAGCGTGGTGGTGGGAGTGCAGGAATCGTGGCAAGCTTTTGGAGTCGACTGCTTTTCCGGGAATGTGTTTGAAGTGCAGGTTTGCTCTGTCCCTGGAGTGAGGCTAGCCAGCCTGGGCCTAGGGTTTGAACCAGGAGGCAGCCTTAAGCCCAAGGCAACTGGGATGAAGTGGCCATGTTGTTCCTGGTTTGGCTGGCTCCTCCTCCTCCTCCTCAGGCTCGTGGGAGGCTCTCCTTGCCAGAAGGCAGGAGCGTGGTGGTGGGAGTGCAGGAATTGTGGCAAGCTTTTGGAGTCGACTGTTTTTCCAGGAATGTGTTTGACGTGAAGGTTTGCTCTGTCCCTGGAGTGAGGCTAGCCAGCCTGGGCCTAGGGTTTGAACCAGGAGGCGGCCTTAAGCCCGAAGGTTCAAATTGTCTTCCTGTCAAACATTCTTCTAGGTGGTATAGCACTGGTCTGTGTGTTGCTGTACAGAGGTAACTCGTGGTTGCTGTGATGCTGAAGCCTGTGACAGTGATGTGCCAATCGTGGTAATGGGCACCCATGGTGGACAGTATTAGATGGAGCTTCCCGACTAAATCAAGCCTGGAAGCAGGAGCGGCATCCACTTCCAAAATGGCTTGCCTCTGGAAACTCTATGTACGAACAGTGCTCAAGCTGTTCATTCATAGGGTCGCTATGAGTCGTCTACGACTCGACGGCATTAAACAACAACAACAAACAACTGTTGTTGATAATATACACACAGAACACTGGCCCATTCAGCCATTTCTACATGCACTATCTAGTGACACATAGCATGCCCCGATCACGTGACCATTCTCACTCTCCTTTTCCAAGTTGTTGTCCCCACTAATAAATCCAGTGGTCCCTGAATTTCCCACTCAATCCTTCAAGGTGCTGTTGCCCATTTAATCCCATATAGCTAGATCTTTAAAAAGCACAATGCAAGTCAGACAGTCTTTTTTTTAACTAATCAATTATTTTATTGCTCAAGTACATTAAGACAAATTTATGCAGCCAAGGCAGAGGCTCTGGATGATTCTTATTTCCAACTGGGGGAAGGACTCTCTTTGTCTTATAGTATGGAGCCAATCAGAAAAATACAGAATGCTTCACAAAATTTGAGTGTCATCCTTGTACAGGAGCCATATCAATCTTCTCTGTATCATTCCAATTTTAGTATATGAGATGATGAAGCAAGCACAGTCAGAGAGTCTTTATTATTAAGCTAAACTGTTATAGTGAGCAATGATGTTAGTTTGAGGACTAAGGTGCACCTGATAAGAGACAGACAATGAATAAGGATGACAGAAGAATTGATGCCTTTGAACTGCAGTGTTAGAGAAGAACACTGAATATCCCATGGACTGCCAAAAGAACAAACAGACATGTCTTTGAGAAGGTGCAGCCAAAGTACTCCTTGGAGGCAAGGATGACGAAACTTCATTTCACATACTTTGTGCATGTTGCTAGGAGAGGCTATTCCTTGGAGAGGAACATCATGCTTAGAAAGGTGGTGGATCAGTGAGAGAAAAGACCCTCAGCCAGGTGGATTGACTGCAGCAATTGGCTTGAGGGTATCAGAGATTGTGAAGATGGCACAGAATAGGACAGGGTTCAGATTTGTTGCTCAAAGGGTCACTGAGTCTTACTCAACTTGATGGCACATAACAATAAACACAGGTAGCTCTGGTGGCTCAGTGGTAAGGAATTGCACTGCCAATGCAAAAAAAAAAAAAGTGTGCCGTTCAAATCCACCAGCTGCTCCACAGGAGAAAGACGGACAATTGACGCCCTTGTAATTTACTGCCACTAATAACCCAAAGTCCGTCCACTGGAGGGTCAGCTATGCCTCGGTTCCAACTTGACAGCCACAGCAACACAGTATGAGAGTTTCAACTTCTTGGCACTTAGGTACTTCCACGTCAAGATTTTAGGAAAAGAAACGAAGTTAAAACTGTTCAGAATGTCAGTGTCTGCCAGTGAGAACTGGTTTCACACCATTCCCTTAAGTGTGCTAATCTAGTTAAGCTGCCCTGGAGAACCACCAGGCCTGTGAAGACACCACCATCACTCTGGCTGGCCTAACCCTCCTGCCCAGTGGAGTAAAGTTGAGTTGCACAAGATGACCCTTTTTGTAACAGTTTGCCCTGCACTGTTTTCAGCTCAGTCCGTGTGTCCTGAACCCAGGAGACCTGCCAGAAGGTCCACAATGTGAGCTGGACATGCCCCAGGGTATAGTTCTCATGTCTTCTCGGGGCTGTTCCTAGGCCATGCGTGCCACAGCTCCAGACTCTGAGTGCACTGCAGTGGTGGCCTCGACACTGGCTCCTTCAGGTCACGCTTCCCCTCAAGTTGCCATCTCTAGTCTTGGGGCTGTCATGTGACATCCAGCCTCACACCCAGGTGGCTGGGGGGCTGGCTGAAGGTGGCAGAGCTGGGCTGTTACCACAGTCTGTGACAGCACCCTGTGCTCTCATGACACACTGTCTCAGTAGCAGCAGACAATCATGTTACCACACAGCTCTCTCCAGTCCAGACTCACTGACCTGGAAGTCCACATAGAGCCATGCGTGCTAAGAAAAGGATTCAGAAGAGCAGCACGGCTTAGCTGTAAACTTACTGAGCATTTTCTCCCAGGAAGCAGTGGTTCTCAGCCAGGGGCAACCTTGCCTCCCAGGGAATAAATGAAATTTTTCTGGAGAAAATGATTTTTACTGCTGGGAGTGCACTGTTTTATCTGACAAACAGAGGTTTGGGTGCTGCTAAACACCCCAGTCTGCAGGTGGCCCTGAGCACAAGAAATGTCTGATCTTAAGTGTTAAGACTGCAATGGTTGGGAGAGCAGTTACAAATGAAATCACCTAAAGGCATACAGTTGGAAACCACCAATGAGCTGCTCCACAGAAGAAATATCAACAATCTCCTCCCATGGGATTCTCTGCAAACTAGCTGGAGGGTCAGCTATGGGTTGGCTCAACAGCACAAAGCAGCAATAGTCTCTGAAGGAGCCCTGATGGTGGAGTGGTGTAGTGTTCAACTGTTAATCCAAAGGTCAAACCAATCAACCACTTCAAAGAAGAAAAAATGCCATCAGCTTCCATAAAGATTGTTGTTGTTGAGTGTCATCAAATTGAGTATGATTCATAGCAACTCAATGAACAACAGAGCTGAACCCAATCTTATCCTATACTATCCTTACCATCTCTAACTCACTCGAGCTCATTGCTCCAGTCACCATGTCAATCCACCAGGCTGTCTTCCTCTCCTTCACCATCCCACCACCTTTCCAAGCATAATGTCCCTCTGCAAGGAACAGTCTCTCCTAACATGCCCAAAGAATGTGGGAAGAAGCTTTGTCATCCTTGCCTCCAAGAAGTATCCTGGCTGCAACCTCTCCAAGATGAACCTTGGACCATATCTTCAATCACCATAAAGATATGGCCTTGGAAACTGTGGGGCTGTTACACTCTGTCCTATAGGGCTGCTATGAGTTGCAATGAAGTTGACAGCAGCAAGTAACATACTCCTGATAAAATGTGGCCACATTGCCATGTGCAGTCGGTAGTGAGTAGCATCCAGGATGGTCATGGAGCCAGAGAAAATGTCTTCGAGAGTCAAGAAGCAAAGAATAAAGCCATGCACAGCATGAATCGTGCCCAGGATTTGTGTTTGCATAGTAGGAACACAAGAAGGTCTGCATATGCTGCTTGGTGAAATGGGCAAACTAAGGTGATCAGACCTGGGGGTTAGGGAGTGGAGCTGCAATGCAGAGGGGACATTGGGCAGGGAGCACCTGAGGTGGCACCTGTGGGCTGGAGGTTGGAAAAGTCTTAGGAAAAAGGTGGTTAAGGGCTGGAGACCCACACATCCAGTGTGGACAAGAGGCCAGCCCTCTGCTCAGCAGAGATCAGGCTGCCTTGAGGAGAAGACCAAGGACTACATCCTAGGTTCTAGCGGACCATATATGATAAAGAGCTTGGTCTTCATCCTAGAGGCCTGAGTATGCTGGCCTGGCAGTCGTACTGTGTTGTTGTTGTTGTCTACTGTTGAGTCACAACCAACTCATAGCTGACCCTCCAGCAGTAACTCATATGTGAGGAGATTGTTCTTTCTCCTATGAAGCAGTCAGTAGATTTGAACCATGTATGTTTAGGTCAGCAGTACAGCTCCTTTACTAAGGTAACTGGAGCTTCCTGGCAGTGACATTAGATGCAGGAATATTTTGGGAGAAGAGGTGCATCTAGAGACAAAAAGGGATAAGAACCAGAGAGATGAGCTGTGCACAACAGGTCTCTAGGAAGATGCTCAGATGCAAGACTATGCAAGACAGATGTGGGCTGCAAGAGAAGGGGGCATGGGGCATGTACCTATAGATTTTCACACTGGAAAAGACCTGCCTACAGGCAATGGGACTTTGGGGTCCACCAGCAGCCAGGGGGTTGGGAATACCTGCTTTCCGGTGATGGCAGCCGGAGCTCAAAGAATGAAATAATCCAGAGGCCAGGAGGACATGAGGCCTGCTGGTCATGAGCCACACAAGTCAAAGGTGGCATTGACCGTAAGGAAGTCACAGCTCTGAGGACATGGTCAGCTGAATTGGTCTGGAGCTGTCCTTGAGTCTCAGCTTGATTTTGACCAACATTTTTAAAAAGAGGCCTAGAGCCTTTGTGGGAACAGCCTAGGGATGAGGCAACTCTGGACTGAACAGCAAGCTGGAGGTAGAGAGGATTCTTCCATGCAATAATCAGGGAAAAGAACCCAGAGCTGCCCTAGGTTGTGGAATTAGGGTGCAGAGTTGAATAGCAGTCACGCTCAGGGGTCTGGAGAAAAAAGTGCAGTGATGTCTGAGGTGGCAGTGGGCACGTGGAGCACCAAGTCACCCTGTACAGGCGACAGCCAGCTAGCTATAGCACCTTCCGCAATTAATTCACCAACGCAGCTGCAGTTTGGGGCTGACTCCCTGTATGTGAGATGAGCTTTGCCTCTTAGCAGTCTTGGGCCAGAGACTTGCTCTGTGTCCTGTCCAAAGGTTGTCATGGAGACAAGAGGAGTTCGTATTCATGTTTGCTACCTGCTGCTGCTGCCGCTGCTGCTACTGTTGTTAGGTACAAGAACGACTCATAGTGATGCTATAGACAACAGATCTGAACCTTGTCCTACCTTGCACAGTTCTCACCATCTCTGACATGCTTGAGCCCACTACTACAGTCACTGTGTCAATCCACTGATTGAGAGTCTTCCTCTCCTTCACCATCCCCCCACCTTTCCAAGTTTAATATCCCTCTCCAAGGAACAGCCTTTCCTAGAGGCATGCCCAAAATGAAAATGAGTAAGGTTTGCTACTTAAGCCATTTCATTTTCTCTGCTGTGATAAGGAAATAAGAGAATATATACAGAAATTACTAACTTACTAACCTTATTAATCATGTTTAAAGTCATGTTATAAAGAAACTAGGGAGCTCAGGTGGCCTAATGGTAAGAAGCTGCAAACCCAAAGGCACATGGTTCCAAACCACCAGCTGCTCTGCAGGAGAAGGATGGGCAGTCTCTTGTGTAATTTACTGACTCTGAAAATCCTCCAGAGGGCTAGCTAAGCTTCAGTTTTGACTCATCTGCACACAACAAAAAAATCTGCTGTATATGAAATGTGTCTTCTCTATGGCAGAAGGTACATGGTTGGTTTGATCATTGTGGATATGAGCTGTGTCCCTGGTTTGACCAGCCTCTAATGGAACATGGACCCCTCAGGAGGAACTGCTGGCACCATTGCTAACATCCCTAGAGTGGCCTGGACCCCTTCTACGTGGGGGTCACTGGCCCTGAGGCCTCTGCACCCCAGGGCTGGCTGCTGAGACAACCCACAGGGCCTTTCCCTGCTGCCTGCAGTTCTTTCTGCCCCCTCGTGCAGGGAATACATGCCTCCCTCCAGAGGACAGGGGCAAAGCAGAGCTCTGCTGTGTTCAGACCCACTCTGCCAGCCAACACAGGGTCCCTAATGGAAGCAGGCAAGTCCCCTTGTCCCTTCCATCTAACTGCCTAAAGTCTCCTGATCTGGGGAGCTGGTCTTAGGGCACCAGGTTCCAAGCTGTACAAACCAGGCTCCAGCTGTGCTCTGCCCAATGGCAGGATGCCATGCAGCATGCTGCAGAGTCCCAGGATCCCCAGCTGGCTGAGCATCTGCTGCAGTGGTTCGTGGACGAGGGCCAGCGGGAGTGCTTTGTGGCTACACTCTTCACCTGCTACGATCTGCTGCGCCCAGATGTGGCGCTGGAGCTGGCCTGGAGGCACGGCCTGGCAGACTGCACCATGCCCTACTTCATCCAGCTGATGCATGAGTACCTCGGCAAAGTGAGTGTACCCCAGCGGGGGCTCCCCACCTTGGAGAGCCGCTGCTGTCCCCTCTCACCTTATGGAGAAGCACCATACCTCTGGGCAGGCTGTAGGAGGCTGCCTTTGGGAGTGGGTTCTTTCCACAGTGCTATGCTGGCTCTCAGGGAGCGCTGGGGCTCAGTGGTAAAGAACTGTGCTGCCAACAAAGGTATGCAGTTCAAATCCACTAGCTGCTCGCGGAACGATGGGCACTTCCTGAAGATCCAGTGAAGCATTGGCTGTGGATCGGTTCTGACTCAATGGTACACAACAGCAGTGCTGGCTTCCTGGCCAAAGCAAACCTGCCCCAGGAACCCCTGCAGGAGATGGCCAGCACTGAGAGCTGAGCACTGCACAGCTGCAGTGATGTCCTTCTGGCCTAGCCTCAGACATGCGGGCAGCACACACACACACCCAGGAGGAGAATGGAGAGGGTTGGCTATGAGGCAGTGAGGCACACAGAGCCCAGCCATGATACGGCCAGCCATGCAGTCAGAGCCGAGGGCACCTCTGTGGGCCCCGGCTGCCTGGCTGCCAGCATACCTGTTGGGACACCCTCTCTTCCAAGTAGGAAGTTTACATGGGTTGAGATCTCTCATGCCTGAGGAGGAGGATGAAGTCACTCCTCTGTCCAGCTGAAGACACTGGGATCTGGCCTCAGAGCCTACAGGGAGAGGAGCTCGAACTCACACCCCCGGCCAAAGTCTGTCCTCTCTTACCACTTCCACTTCAATCACTCAGATGCCACTTGACAGCAGGCTTCCTATGCAGGTTGATGGCCTGTCTAATGAACTGATAGTGTCTGATTTTAAAACTGGGGAGGGGGGAGGAAAAGGAGTGTGTGTGTGTGTGTGTGTGTGTGTGGTGTAAGTGGGTTTAAGGGTGTGTATATGTGACATGAGAGACCCTGTCTAGACCTGGCCGAGCTTCAACCTGTCTCTCTCTCTGGCCGAGCTTCAGCCTGTCTGTCTGTCTGTCTGTCTCTCTCTCTCTGGCTGAGCTTCAGCCTGTCTCTCTCTATCTCTGTCCGAGCTTCAGCCTGTCTCTCTCTCTCTCTCTCTCTCTCTCTCTCTCTGGCCGAGCTTCAGTCTGTCTCTCTCTCTCTCTGGCCGAGCTTCAGCCTGTCTCTATCTCTGGCCAAGCTTCAGCCTGTCTCTCTCTCTCTCTGGCCAAGCTTCAGCTTGTTTCGTGTGTGTGTGTGTGTGTGTGTGTGTGTGTGTGTGTGTGTGTGTGT